TAAACCGATCTAATGTGTTTGTGATAGACATGCTCTTTACTGACGTTATGTTGCGCCCTGATACAATAATATAGACGATTTGGCGAGATTTGCCTTATAAAAGCTGTAGTGGCTGAGAGTGGTCCATTCCAGTACCCTTCGTGTTTTAGAACCCATGGTTCTGAGCCACTTGCCACCAGCAAACAGGTCACTTTGAACAGGCTATAAAGGACTGTGAGGTCATATTCTGTCCCGTAATTGCCAGTGTGGAGATGATGATCCCTTCTTCCAGATAATTCTAATAATGTGACTGATTCTATGGATACCTCCAGGGACATTCTCTGACCAAAGGACCTCTTCATCCATGTCCTGGCGGAGTTCAAAGCGGTCATTAGGGGATCGGATATGGCGGACCTATTCGGCGCCCCGATTGAGATGCCTGCATGTTGTCGCTGACAAACTTCTCTCGGCTGACGAGAAGGATCGGTACCCGAGTCTCATGCTCAGTCAACTACAAATGCAGCATATAACCTGTCATTTACTCCGCACCACTTTCAATGCCCCCTCTTCTTCCCAGCAGCCACCCGTTAGCCCAGCGCTACCCTGTTCCTTGCAGCCTTCATATCGTCTACTGAAGAGGCACAAGTAGTCATAATTCCGCAATTCATCCGCTGTTTTTGGATAGCGGTTGTGAAGAACACATGCTTTGATTGATGGCGAGGATTGTAGGCTTCGCAACTGGTTGATGAATCCGGCTGCGATGAAACTGGAGCAAATTCGTGGATAGAGACTTAGATTGATGAGGTTAACCTTGAGGGAGGACTTCCCTTGCCTTTTTCCCTAGCGCTCTTGAATTTACCATCTCCGTCAATTTTGCAGATTGAAGCTGCAACAGCTGGAACTATTGTCTGCCGTCCTTTCGGACCAGATCCTGTATCGGTCTAAGTTCGATCTGAACACGCATCAAGTTCCGCTCTTTACCAACTCTCACTGCCTACTACTTTCGTACGGTTCATTGAAGCATATAAGGCATAGTTTCACTTCTAATTCTAGGGGTCAAAAGCTGGGACCACGTGCATGCCCCTTCCCTGAAGGTCAGTAGCTAACCCGGACTTGAATCTCAGTTGCGTCGCCATTGCCAAAGATAAGCTGAGTCCAGTTGAAGACGCATCGTGTGTTGCACATCGAGAGCACCAATGACAACAGCATCTACAACCCTGATAAATACCGCCCTGACGTCCGTTATCAGATAGTAAGGCCTGATTCTATTCTCTGTCTCTCACCTTCAGTCTTGTGGAGGAGAATAATCAACGGTTCACCAATCGCTCACAGCAGAGGTGCCCAGCACAAAAGGCGTTTATCTACCTAGCGAGGAAGGAGGTTGAGTAAGTGGTATGCATAATCTATTGTATGGGTGTGGCAGGCACCACTATAACTGGTTGTACTGCAGATGCCCGACCAAGCGTCGCTGCACGAGCCAGGAAATAATGGAATTATCAACTGTCCAATTAAGTCTCCTAGATATAGTGACAAGGGGTTGAAACTGCCTTTAGCATAGCCAATGTGGCGGGGTTGGGGCTATACTCATAGGCATTGTGAATCCCCATCTCGCTTAAATATACCCTAAATATTTTGTCTAGTTTATACTACTAGACTCAATGCTTCGATTTGATTGAAATAGGGACCAGGAACTCTCATCAAGCCTCTTATACCAAGCACATAAGGCTATGTGGCCACATACAAGGCAGGATAATCTCTGATTTCCCCTAAGATTCAAGGTCAGAGTGACAGGTTGGGGGCTGTTTTCAAAATCGAATTGGATCTAGTGATGGAACAAGCCATCCTCGCAAGCCTAGACTTCGAGTTCCGACCAGGTCGGTATGAGGCTATCCCAGAGGCGTATTATGCCACGTATGAGTGGCCATTCGACTCTGGCTTATCACACTGGCTACACGATGCAAATGGAATATTTTGGGTTTCGGGAAAAGTTAATTCGGGAAATTCAACGCTGATGAAATTATCGCTACACATTTCAAGACTCAGAATATGCCATTGAATTGGCCACGCCAGAAACCGATCATGATTGCTAGCCATTACCATTCGGCTGTGGGGCGTGAATACAGAAGACCAGGACAAGTCTACTTCAGACTCTTCTTTACAAATTCTCAGATAATATCCCAAGTACATGCGGATGGTTTGTCCAGATCGATGGGCTCGAGCAATGGGCCAGTCATCAGAAGCCGGTGTGCAATGAGATGGGAATGGCAAATGGTCACATTCAGAACTATCCCATGCTTTCGAAAGCTCGCTGGCCAGGGAGATCACGACACCAATTTTTGCTTCTTCATTGATGTGATGGATAAGTATAATAAGGACCATCTTGATCTCTGTGCTACATTAAAGTAATTGTAAACATCTCCACACATCAAATTATGCGTGTGCAGTCAGATATGGAATGTATTCCTCGACAACTTTGGCAATGATAGAAATCACATGATGAAAATACACGGGCTGACGCGAACCGATATACTTACTTTTTCCAGGGGTTGACAAGATGGGTGAGATACCGATCTGAGGATTAGCAGCTGCGGTCCATTGCAGAAACGATGGCAGACCGAGCACAAGGGGTGTTCCTGTGGGCCTTCTTGGTTACTAAATCACTTTAAGATGGACTGACGAAATATGACACAGGCCAACAACTAGGACAACGTTTAGAAAATCTTCCGGCAAGTCTCAAACGCTTGTTCAAGTATATGTTCGATCAAGTTACAACGAGAAAATGGCTGGCATGTTCCAGACCGGACTATACGCTCAGGAGCCTCTTAGATTGGATCTCTATGGGTATCATGATATGGGATACGAAGACGAAGATTACGCCCTGCGCTGCCTAGTAAAGGAACGGAGTGTCAGAGAGATGCTACACCTTTATGACAAAACTCATCGGAGAATCAATACTTGGGCCAATGGACTTCTGGATGTAATGAAAGTAACAAGGTCGACTTTTTGCATTAGACTGTCTGTGACTTTCTTCGGACCGGAGAAAGTCTGAGGGCAAAACGACGGCCCGACTTTGATATTTACTTCTCGATCACCAAGGCCTACGTAGCATACATCTAGTCGACACGTTTTAGTGATAGAATCCATCAAGTGATCCCCCCAAGCCACAATTCCGGTATGTTGATCGATCGATTAACCATTACATTACAGCATGCATCGCAAGTAGCTGCAGATCGGTCAAATAAACTGTCAGAACCGCTTGGCGAACTCGGATGTGCTTTTGACGCAAGGTTTCGAACGAAACAGGGACATTTTCAGATGGAGGTAGGCGAGCCAAACCTGATATTCCGTAAAGAGGTCTTACGATTCAACGCGGCATCATAAGTCGCCAAGAAGCTCGTCGATATTCCCGACTAACTATCGAAATTAGCGCTAGCACCCACTGAGTGTTGCAGTGGCAGCCGGAATCCCCCCAGCCGACACCATTCGCAAACTCCTTCAACATGGCGAGGATACTAATAACGTGTCACAAATCTCTGTTAACGTCTTCATGACTCCCTGGGTGCACTACGCTTCCTAGCCTGACCTTGGAGCTTCACAGGACTTGGGGAAGAAGTACTCAGCGACTCTTTAGATCGCAGGTTTCACAGACTGTTTCTCTCCTACGACGCCGAGGAGCTATGCCATATGCAGTGCCTTCGCTGGCCCTCTATGGGATACTTAATACCGATGTGAGGTAATAGGTAATTGAACGAGGGCGGTATCGATCTGGGTGTAAATGGGATCAAACCTGGATTTTCATAGACCATCTGACAGGCTATCGACTCCTGCAGATCCCATGATAATAGAACAATATCGACCGCAGGATTAATAACGTCCTTCTTAGACGAAATCCTCTCGTTTGTGTCTTTGTAGTTTTCTCTATCGTGAGGGTCATTAGGGACTCGTTTGAGTGCGAGGCCGCTGTTTGGCACAAAAATACAACCATGGCAAGCAAAGTATCTTGGTGGTCATTTCGCCCAATGAGGATCAACTAGGACAGTTAAGCAGCTCGAACCAACTCCCCATGCCTATCATCCAATGACTGGCACATGACAGCTTCCAGTTTGTTTCCTCCCTCAAAACGATCGACCAAAACGATCGACCGAGTGACTGGTATCTTTTAGCTTATCGAGTTTCGCCATACAACCCTGCTTGGTCTGCACCTCAGCTCCTGTCCGACTACGTTTTATCGACCATGGGACCAGGCAACATGGTTTCAGCCGCTGACCGCTCCGAGACTCCGCAATTACTAGCACCCTAGATCTCTGTACTATCTGATGCACATTGGTAGATGTTCCCAGGAGGGCAATTCATATTGCCTGTGAGTCATGTGCTGGTCGAGGACCTACAGTATTTATATCATTAATGTGATCGTTGATAAAAAAACATGCTACTACGTGATGCCAGAGATCTGAGAGAGAGGAACGCGGGCGATCGTGGTTATTTTTTATAAGTCTACTAAGAGTTGCCTTTGTGATATGGGTGACTGAGGCTTTACAGCAAAATAAGTCGGCACAGACAAACACTTGTATCAATCACTAAAACGAATATAAACAAATCACACAATTGCGTCTATTTCACTACCTTCACCTATGCGTCACAATGCCCGACTCCCCTTACCTGCCAAAATACACGTAATACATATAGCCAACAGTCGTTGGTACCCTTCGCCAAACTCCTCATTACATCTCAACAATGTTAATCGATGCCGGGGCAAATATCAACCCTTCGAACCCCAAATAACACTCCCAATGATAGGAAAAACAACCAAGGCTATATATCTAGTTTCATACACTGCACTTATGGGATGGGTGGGTCATCCTGCTCCACTAAGTGCATCGGCAGCTGAATGCACGATGCCTGTGAGTTCGCATGCCGATTGAGCCACTTGCTGCTTGGACAGCCATCTATTATCCTGTAAAAGCTGGCATCAATTGCTTTATAAGATGAAGTCTTTCCTTCGTCTTTTGAAAAGGACTGAATTAGACGCTATAGTGACGAAACTCCTGAGGTTCCCGTGGCCGCTGGGTTCGAGGGCTTCTCCTAGGATAAGGGTCTGTCTGCTCGATTGGCCGATGGTCCGGCTTGTAATCTGGGTCATTCCTTGGGTTATAGCCTGGGTCACGAACCCGGTCATCCTCGGATTCATCCTGGCTATCCTCGGGTTCATCCTCGGATTCATCTTCGTAGCGATACCTAGGGCGACGTCTAGGGTTGTCCCTAGGGTCGTCTCTGGGGCCCTCTCTGAGGCGGCCTGTTGGTGAATGGGGCGTTGAATTCAGATAGAGCCGCACAGAATGGACTACCTCGATCACCTTGGCCAGTACATAAACATGCCACTGGTCAAGGTTGTCAGCGAAGCTATCAGCTGCAGATGCGGCGCAACCGACTGCAGTGCCGGCCATCATCAAAGAGGCGCTCCAGATGTGACCGAAAAAAGAACCCCCCTTCATAAGACACCACAACAAACCCACAATGACGAGGACCACCACGACAAGGCAGGCGAGAAGCCCGCAAGCAAGAAGGATAATGACCGCAGAGATAAGCATGTCCATAAAAAAAGGGAAGCCGCAGACAACTAACATGATCTGGGCGGAGCAGAAAGAGAAGATAACTCCTACTGGAATTGTCCACTTTGCACGGAGGTTCCAGTACCAGTTGTAATGGTACCACAGAAGCGCGATGCCAATGATCGGAGTTACCGTATATCGGGGATCAAGCGCTGCGGCATTGTTTATTCCGGCTTGAACAATCTGGCCAAAAGGATAGATAGACATCAGGGGAACGTATTCCTTAGGCTCCCAGATCATATCCTCGGTGAGATGCTCCATGTTGTCGAGAGCTGACATATAGTTGTCGTCAGGAAGAGTCCTAATGACCTCTTGTTGTAAGAGTTGAGAGTTGCAAGGATCGATGAATTGGTCAGGTTTTTGAGAATAGGATGAGATGGTTTTGGCGGCCCAGGGTTTAGTATTTGTACTCTTTCCAAAAACGGTATCACAGCCACTGGCAACGACTGGTACAGCTGTTCACTCGGCTTTCCTCGATCGACTTATCTAGTAGCCTGCTGCCTATAAGGTTAGGCCTTTGTGTAGATGTAGGTAATAGATAAGGACACAATATTTCGCTCCCTAATAAAAGCTCATTAGGGTCCAAAGTGTATCAACAATAGATATATGTATTCAGCCCTTGTTCTGCTGCTTCAAGAAGCTACTTTAGAAGTGTACTGCCATCTGTTCAGCATTGGTACATCGCACGCAATGATGGATTTATAACTCAGTTCGCTTTTTGGTTTAAGTATATAATTGTTCAGGGCAATGCTGCCTAGAGAAGAGGAGAGCATGACACTGTCAGACTCTGAGTAAGGTTATGGACCTGGGTCCGAGGAAGAACCACTTGGCTTGGCAAGAAGGCGAATAAAACCGAGGGTAATTTGTCTAAAGACAGCCTGGCAGCGAATATTCCAGATCTATTCGACGTCGTTGCCTTATCTTAGCTTCGCGAAGCCTTGGGCTTCGTGGCTAAGATATCATATAAGCGTCCGGCATTTCAGATGATGAGCCTGAGCCTCGATTCTACGAGCACCGAGCCTGATAAATTCCAAATGCTCACTTTCGAATTCCCAAATACCGCGAGTGCTGGTCATGTTGTCGATGTGAGTGAGTGCATGTCAAAAGGCCGAGCAATTATGGGAGATGGAAAATGTCGCTGACTTGTAGTCAATTCTCCTGAACGAGGCTTTTGACGTTCCCAACTTGTCGTATGTTAGGAGAACATGCCCCTTGCTTTCTTGTTCAGCTCTCCCATCTTGACGATGACAACCGATTCGTCGACCAAGATCTCCTTGTGTGTTCAGACCATCATGCTGTTGACCCATGATGGCTGTTTGAGAAGGACTCCGTAGCTGCGGAAATCATGTTTAACAGACTCGATTTATGCCTGGAGAGCTGAGAATTCAAGCGGCAAGTGAGTTGGTTCAGGTTTTGTCAGTCCGCATGGGATTGTCAGATGAGCAGCGCGACTGTCTAATTGAAAGGCACCAGTGGCTGTCAAATATCGCTGAAAGCGAGCATTGAAGAACTACTGAGTATTGTTTGCTTTTGCTCGAAGGTCGCGATCCATTAGCTGACATGGAATGCCACTACGACCTTCCTCCAACTAGAGACTGTTGATCCTCTATTCACTTAAATAGGAAATCCTCCTCGGTTCTGGGCCTGATCATCATAGTATTCTGTAGCCTCCTAGCTGGAGTCTTTGCTTCTTGTACGCCGAGTGTATGTGACGAGACTTGACCTAGGAGCTGCCTGTACGTTCAATGCAGAATTTAAATGTACGAGGTGTTGTTTCGTGTTATCTTATCGTAAGGGAGCTTCAGAAGGTTTCTGTAGTGGTGAGATTCGTTTGGGGATGTTGACTGACTTGAGCAGGGGAGAAAGGGTAACGCGGCAAACGTCGTGGCAACATATCAGCATTCAAGCATAGACGTTGATGGAGAGATTGACCCTTGAAAACACTGGATCGTCGGACATGGTGCCCTGTTTCTCTTGTGACCGATTCCGTCAGTAAGAAGATGATGCAAGCGAAAAGCGCTTCAACGAAGGACTACAACTAGAATGGGAGTCGGCATCGTGCTTTGAGGTCTCCTGAGACCATGGAAATAGGAAACATGGCTCCAAAACTCCCAAATTGCATGTATTACAATTGAGTTTCCGGCGCAATCTGTGCCGAACGGAAGGTGCCCTTTATTCTCGTTAACAGGTAATCAATGCTGGAATCCTGCGTAAGATCCTAGATATCCAAGAGGGAAAGATACACAGGCCGCAAATGTTGGTATTGAGCCCATTACCAGTGGTAATTGGCACAGTAAGGTCCGACAAGATTGTGTTCGGATAGCATTTTTGTCACCGATTGAAATTTAAGATTTCCTCCTCAGTAACGATACAGTCACCCTTATCAGTATTGGCGGAGGTATCAGCCTCCTGTCGGTGAGACATGGGAGAGAGGAAGCCCTCGGCAATGTCCGTGTATTAGTGAATAGTGCTCTCTAGCAATAACTGCTGTACAGTCTGACGCTCGCAACCATGATTGGCCACCGTGATTAGCATACAGACGACGGAAGAAGCTTTATGAAGGTCGAGATGGTTAATGAACCGAATGCTGATTGTGCTTGGATCCTTGACTAGTTACGTCGAAACACCCTTTTCTTGTTGGAACGTCTGCTGTATATTGTGAGCGAAATCTTCCATATGGACATTCCTGTTGAAGGCAGCGATTATGTGCCACCGAGACTGCCGTTTCCAAGTATCTATAAGTAAATGTAGGTATCCTCCGGTGTGGAGGTTTGAACCACCTGGTATATATCGGTAAGATACTGGCTTGTAGTGAATAATACTTTTGACCCACGAACAAACCATTAACCTCGACATAAAGGTCTGATCTCTGAAGCTGAGCGCTTTATACGAGAGTCCAAGATCATTGACTAAAGGCAGTGTGCAAGGCCTCCAACGCACCGAAGAAAGCGCCCTGCGTCATTACAGCTACCAAGGCACTCTAGGCTCCGCGTATGACTCCAATGCGAGATTGGCCCATATCAACACATATCAAAAGTCTGCACGGTCGTGAACTTGATGTTTGCCGGCGACATGCCATAGTAGTGGGTATCGGGACGCATTCAATCCGAACTGATGGCTTTCCAATGTCGATGACAGACTGCCTAGCAATACGCGGCTTCTTGAGAAAGGACATGACAAGGGCGATTCCACTCTGTAGGCTATCCCCCAACAACTACCTCAGAAGCCATACCTTTTCTCAACCCCTTATACCTGGTAATATATCATTATGTCTCAGAACCTCTCTCAGGGCAGGCTTGAGGGCAAGGAACTCAGGCTAGTCGAGGGAGGTAAAGTACTCGCCAACCAACCTATAGACCTAGTATTATAACTTCTTGTCCTTGAGCAAGGCACAAAATAACTTTTTGATACCAAAGACTTCCATAAGATGAAGTTCGGGAATTCCAGGGCTCGCCAGATTGAAGTAGTAGTAGATGTGGCAAGCGTCGTTTATCCACTTGAAAACAGGTTGGCAAGCGGCAACTAGTGCATTGGTATTTGAGCGGCACCAGGGTGAAGAGTAGGTAGGTTTATAGGATTGGAAATGCGTTGATGAGGCATTGAGAAGATGTATCTATTTGGGTATTATAGTGAGCAAGACTGCAATATGCCCGTCCATTTTTACAACTCAATTCCTTACGCTCTGACTAATTCCAGTAATGCGACAGATTGTCGAGAAGGATGACAGTGAAGTGCACATATTGTATCGCAAATGGGACTGACTGATGAGCTGCACTCCATCTGGTCCAGATCTGCTCAACGACTAGAGATAATTTGACTCGGCAGACCGTAATTGGCATGTCCGCTTAGCTTTCTAATACAATAACTAAGATAGAGTAGTTGCAGAATACTGTAATGCAATTTTTATCTTAGTTAGATAGGTTTCTGGTGGCTTGCATGTAATATTATGCCTTATCAGGCTGTATTGGGTACAAAGGTAAGGCGCATAAGTGCATAATATGTCATTTTTGCCTAACAAGGCTGACTTGGGGTAAGATTTTAAGCCCAACTTCAGTATGTATCAATATACCTGCCCCGCTGTTTTCTAAACTATTATATCTTCTTAATCCTTTACCTTACAGTTATAAAAGCAAACAAAGTATCACCCTATAACTTATTTTTAGATGGCCGAGGTCTTAGGGCTTGTGGCCAGCCTTATCGCTATTGGCCAAGCTCTGGCAACCATCCCAAAGACCATTGATGCCTTACGAAATCTCCGAGATGCCAAGAATGAGATCACAACTCTCATCAGCGAGGTAAGCAAGGCCATGGTTGGGCCGTGTCGTTTCTCAACTGACATCTTGTAGCTAGAGATGCTTCACCACGCAAAAGAATACATAGACAATGCAATCAATAACGTACCAGTACCAGACGAATCAGCGGCTATTCTCACCACCGAACCCGATTTCTGCCATACTATCCGGATACAGCTGGACGGTGTGATGGGCCATGCAAGAAAGCTCATATCGGATTGCCACAGAGGTACAGACCAAGCGGGGAATCCCCGAAAGTCTCGCCTGAAATGGATTTGGCACCGGAAAAAGATTGGCAGTATATGTGCGGCTGCTCGGGAGGCTCGTCGAGACCTTCAGCTGGTACTCGATGGCCATATAGCGTTTACACAACAGTAAGGATCCCAGTCCATCATGGTGACATTCCCCCTGTATTCAAAATGCTGATATTGATTACAGAACAAGCGGAAAGGCAACGCTCGAGTTTCAGAAAGAAGTAACAGCCTCACTTGTCGCGGGACAGGATCACTTACAGCATATTAACGAACAATTATCGCAGCTTTCAAGGGAATTTAAACAAAATGTGTTAGTACGAGGTTATGAGCCTAAGCAGTTGAACAGCAATGCTTATGGCTCTGATCCAGACGCGACTGGACAGATTACAGGCAATAAAGAAACACCTCAATCCGTTCAAGTACCATCTATAGTCACAGAAGTAATGCGCCAGGGGTCTACAGAGATTACTTCGCAATCGACAGAAATCAACTCAGCAGCATCTGGGACACTACGTCGTCGCCAAGTAGAGTCTCACCATTCACCAGACAAGCCGACTGAGTCAATAGACAATAGCCTCACAAGAGAATAGGTATCGATACGAACAGGGCCACTGATGGATTGGTATTGCAAACACGTCTGTTATTGTCCATGTCACGCGAGGTCCAACGCTGGCTGGGCTTGGAACACCCTGGACATCCTGAAGATCAGAATCGATGGAAAGCCCTTGACAGCACTTCAATGCGGTTGTGTAGGATCTAACTATCTTCAACACAAGGCCCCGGGGATGAGTATCGACTACCAACTTCCTAACTGGTTTCAACCTCGGCTTAACTTCCAGCTACATGGTGAGCTGAAACTGAGTTCCAATATTTCCCTAAGCTTTAAGGCCCGGAGATTGATTTTCTCTGACAATTCCATCTGGGAATCCGTTCGCTCTGACGACATGAGTATATTGCTTAGCATAACGAGAACTGAATCCCTTGTGCCGAGTGATGTTATAGATGAGAGAGGAAACAGTCTAATCTTTGTGAGTTAAAATATTAAGTGTGCTGTCAGGAATAATACTTATAACATCAGGTTGCTCTCCTTTCGCGCCAGTTTGACATGGTCCAAGAACTGCTCCACATGGGCTGCCCTATCGATGAACAGTAAAGTCTTCTGCTTTTCCTAGACTCATGAATTTAGCTGATGGCGTTAGGACCGCTGGACTAGCCCGAGAGATTCTTGAATCACGATATGACCGTCAGAATTGGCCCAAGAAACATCTCCAAATCTTATGCGCCCTGAGCGATGATGGTGGTAAATTGTTTCTGAAGCCATCCGATTCAACACCCCTTCACGCTGCAGCTAAAGGGCTTCTGGATATGGAGTCAAAGGGAGCGGTTGAGAATGACTATCTCGATTCAAAAGACGATAGTGGCAAGACTGCATTGCACTGGGCATGTGAAGCAGACAACATTACAGCAACCAGCTATCTTCTTCGCTCTGGAGCGAGTGTCAACGTCAAAGATAAGGATGGCGTCACCCCTCTGATGGTAGCCGCGAGTCGAAGCAGTGTACAGTGCACTCGAGCACTGCTGGAATACAATGAATGCAGTATTGAACCTGCCAACAAGCAAGGAAGGTCTGCTCTCCATTTCGCAGCATTGTCGCCACAGGTCAATGGACACTATTTCATCAGGCTTCTCCTAGAACAGGGTGCAGATCCAAACTCAACAACGGCAGGGGGTGAAACACCACTACATGAGATAGCCTCGTCCTATACATCTTTTCTATCAGTCGAAGAGATACAACAACGCATACAAGCGCTGATGAATGCTGGTGCTATATTGGATGCTTCTGACAAGTGGAATTATACCCCAGCACTGCAAGCTGCAGCAGAGAATAACCACACCGCCCTTGGCGTATTGCTTAGTTTGGGTGCGCGTATAGATAGGTTCGACTGTGATTTACAAGGCTTTCTTCACCTTACAGCATTGTATGGTGACAAAGGGACTATTAACATTCTCCGCGAGGCAGAAATTGCCACTCTTGATGTTGAGAGCCTAGACTACCAGCGTCACAAACCGGCCGACTTATTCAGATGGCGTTCGACCGGAGAGATGTCAGCGTGGCTAGCAGCGACAAGCGACGAAGAAAAAGTACACTTCACGCTGCTCCTCTCCGAGATCAGCAAACGAAACCTGGCTGTTGATATCAGCTGTTGCAAAGCGGTTGCTGATGCACTTGAGCTTGGACAATACCATCTAGCTATCTGTCTACTTAAGAGGCTCATCAATAAGTATGCAGATTGGGTCAAAGGAGAAGAGTTCGAGGTATTCAGAGAGATCAAGATTGACATTGAGAATCGGAGGGTTGAAGCTGCGATGACTTCGCTACAAAACACGTCTGTGGAGTGGACTGCACGCATGGATAGATTAAGCGTTTAAACGATCTATCAACACTATATGCTCCTGAGACGCATGGTGGAGTGATAATAGTCATGGCTTGGTGATGATAAAGGCCAAAGGTGGTAGATATATCTTTTCCACGGCCTCATGGAACCGAAAATGTAGCATTGCAGCATATACCTACTCCGGTCGGGAATGAGAGAAAAAGTCTCACAGAGGGATTACCATGTCGTGGGGCTTAAGAGGACTGTGTCTTATTTCGATATTATTATTAAAGCTTGAAGCCTCTCCTCTATGGATTACCCCTTCCAGGGTCGGCAAGAGATACGCATTTCGCCTTACTCTCAACTTTAGTCTTGATTGATAACAAACAAGCTCATAGGGGTCTACAGGCGGGACTCTAGACTTTTTACTCAATGGGCATGTTTATTGAAGAGGCCTGATCGCTTCACGAGGAGGGTGTAACCCTGGGATCTGGCAGCGTTGGCGTCTTGGTTGTGACAACTAGATGCAGGAGCAGTATGAGTGTTGACAGTCTATGTAGTAGGCAACTTGAACATAACTGTTACCCTGGCGATTCTTCCCGTGGCCATGTTCTGACATGAGCTCTATCTCAAGGATGAAATATGGCTTCAGTTATGATGTAAGTTAAACTGATACTTCTCCTCATTTCGAGGTCAAGAGCACACTATACATCTGCTCAGCAGAAGGCGATTTACCACTGACTAACCTCCTTACATTGAGGCGGTTGGCAGCAATGAAGGCAATGACAATGGCAGATCGAACGAGGAAAATAGGGAATGGCACTAGAGGCGTCTGTCGAGAGCTATTCCACGAAAGGTTGAACCAGCGACCTCCTATTAAATCTACATCTCTTTTTGTTAAGATAATGCATTTACATGTCATTATCGTGACGAATACATCTGGTTCAAACTCTTGATAAACACGTCAAAAGTGAGCCTGCTGACTCCCTGACAGCAACACTGGAAGATCAGGATAAGTTGCCACCACCATATCACGTATGATTGCTTTAGTCATCAACGCACGCAGACGATCATTTAACTACATTCAATGAATTTCTTCCGTCATAGGTAGTAAGCCCGAGACAGAACCCCTCCCAATAGGAACCGAAACCACAGACCGCTTGGGGATCATCGGGGCGACCCTAAAAGAGCATAAGAATATGTCAGCTCGTTTATCAAAGCTGCATAGAAATCACAACCAACTAACATAACAAGAGATGATTTACAATCTCCGACTCTACCCAAACTCTCTATTTGCATCAGTATTTGCACCTCGCAGCTCTGCTTTCTTGCCTTCGCCCATCTGCGAACCTCTGACTTCTTGACAACAGACCAAGGTTCCATATTCATCTTGGCCATATAAAAGGAAGAAGTCATTGAAAAGAGCGGTGCCAGGCTCCTAAGTCAATCCGTTGCCAATCAAGGTTTCAATCAACAACTTTTCTCACATTCCACTCGCTTTGTAATCTCTCTACTCAATTTCGCAAGAATCTGATTCAATTGGCTCCCTCACGCTCTCTTTGCGTACTCCAATCGACTCGTTAGCTAGCCTCTCTCATGTTCTGTGGAATTATTGCTCTATCGCTATCCAAACCCTGCCGAGCAAGTATGGCATCAAACAGTCTACAACGCCAACCAGGTCTCTCAGTGCCTTCAATGAGACAACTAAATACAGATGAGTCCTTCTTAAGGGTATTCGTCTCTTGTATTGTTACGACTGCAGTATTCTTCCACCTTCAACCTTCTTTCTCAACTCTATTAATATGCTATCAATAAGAATTACTTTAACCGCTTGATATTTAACTTTGCCTAACAATTGATGCAAAAAGTGACATTTTGTCATCAAGGAAATGAGACCGTCGATGGAAAGATGATACTAAGCTTTTTTAGCGGCTTGGTTCTAGTGTCAGCGGTGCAGGTGATTATATCTTGGCTTTGATGATAAAAAATACTAATGGGTTTAAGTGTGCCCCATACTTAATGACTTTTCTATGGAGGGTATAAACACATTGATCTGGATTGATTCTACGTATCGGCTAGTCACTACTTTCTCTCGACATCATTACTTAAGCACAGTCGCCTAGTGGCGCAACCAGCTTCTGGTTTATTACAAGGTTATCAGCAGTCATGCTGCATATCGTCAAATTTATTGTCAAACAGTGAAAATCAGAGAGTATTTACCTGTATATAGAAAGCAACATCAGCAGCAAGACTATTTATCGCTTGAACTTTATTTATAGTATTTAAATTAAGACACAGTTTTGCAAAATACCCTTTAGATATTCTTCATGCTCGTCAATTCTATAAAGAAGGCTGTACTGCCCTTTTCCCTCTTATTGGGCACTGAAAGGCCCGAACAATTTACACAAATCTCTGGACGAGGCAAAAGAATGCTTTGATGATTTTTACAAGTCTGCCCCGTTATGAGATACTGAGATGCAGAGATGCAGATCACCCTATGTGCCAGAGCTTATCTCGCCGCGTCGTTTGCATGAGCGATCTTTTGGCGATTGAACCCTGGATTCTACGAACTGGATTCCTTGACTTTCGACTAGGCCTTAAAGAGAACATGTTTATCTCAAAATGAATGTGCGACTGTAATAATCCGTTGTGTTAAGTAAGATTCGCAGATATCGGACAAGTCGTCTTTTTTACTACTTGCGTTCCTCAACACAACGCTGCGGAACGCGGAGCATGCAGGTCAGGTCATATATAAAGAGACAGGCAACACCTGCATTATGGATGAAATACTGGCTTTGAAACTTTATTAAGTATTTTTCTCTGCACCTACTGCTCCCACGCTACAGATATATGAGCTTGCATCTCATCTGAATTTAGATCAGGCTAGTGAAATGTACCCGGAATACTCGCAGTCCAATTATCACAGTTAAGTGGGTTAGTGCGCCGTGCCCACCATGGTCTCCAATGATATGAAGAAGAAGAGTGCAGAAGGGCCAATCATTCACGTCTGGAAGACCCACTCTGACATGTTACGTTTGAGAAAAAAAGACTGCCATTCTGGCCTAAGTGCACCTGGCTCCAGGGTAGGTGACTATCTGTGAGGCGTTCGTCTTCTGTTCGAATAACCTAATTCAAACGAACAACTGTGAAGGGAAAGAGACAACCAGAAATTAAGGTACTACTTCCCAATAGATGTAGCCTGACTAAATTAAACTATTGCTGCTATTGTGACCTAGAATTACCGCTTAGTTCATTGAAACTCAATGTACTACGTGAGTTTAGATCATTGATGTTAATATATGTTTGAAAATATTTACAGAGGAATGGTAAAGCAGCTCAAGTTGTGCCTTGCTTATATACTACCCGTGACTTTATTGACGTCAATCGCCACTTACGTATTAGACATCTCAAGTAGTTAATCCCTAGATCTTAAGATAAGGTCTGTGACAAGTCTAGCGTTTTGTCGGGATCCTGGAAGTATATAATTTCTGTCCGTACTTGGTCCGGCAAAGCCCGAATTGCATCATCAGAAGAACACACAGCACGCCAAACTACCTATTGGCCTTAGATTGCCCTCACTGTTGCGGCGTCTGTCTTGAAAGGTGATAGTCGTAATTGTTGTTATCGAGGACTTATTATGTCTTGACACCCCAGACCTGCTAAATACTTAAGCTAATACAGCCCAACACCTACTTCTATTGATACACTTATAATGGCCGTGACTACTGGCGACTCGATCTATGCCCTACTTAAGGGAAAATATTTTGAAGGTGAAGAGCAACAACAAGGAAAAGACTGCAAAAGGCGATAATTTCTAACAGCCTCAATTGCAAGCTAAGTGCAGACAGCCAATTAGGTTCAATCAAGATAGGGTCGTTATTATTAGATAGGAAATTAAGTAATCAGTTTAATAATATTAGATATAAGAATAAAAAGTATAAAATTTAGTCTAAAAAAGCATAAAGAAGCTAAGGTATTAAAGGGATCCTGTCCCTTTATATCTATTACTGTAGAGCTGACTAACTTGGGCTGTGCCCATCACTTGACTGGCAAAAGTGTAATCAAAGTAAGGATTTAGCAAACTTTAAATAAATGGGTGAATAAGAATATTGGGGCGGGTAGGATGGAAGCTAACTACACCATTCGTGAATAAAGAAAGATCTACATTCATAGTATGCGACCCAATGACCCTTCAGTATGAACCATGCGTCTAAGAAAAAAGGTCACAGACGGTGGCGATGTGATACGAGCAAAAAATATGATCTACTAGAGGGACTAGTCTATTTTCCCAGATGACTTCAATGGAATTGGAAGGATGACGTGATACACGATGTGAATAGATAGTAGTACTACAAATGGTTAGCATGAACAATAACTAATAATTTTGTTACGTACAGGCTGGATAGCTTTTTAATCATTTGGCTGTATTGCTACACTCTATCACGAACCTGTCAATGTCCAGGAAAACCAAGAAGTTCACATATACAGAAGGGAGTACAAAAAGGATTGGGATGGAAAATACTTGCCAAATGGCGGAAGAGGTTTGCCAATGTCTCATTGTGGCAAGCCCATATCTTAGCTTACGTCACGAGTGATTGAACACTGCAGTTAGGTCATAAAGCGTTGTCGCAGCCACATTCCTGAATCTTTATACTGTACTCATAAGACTTCCCGAGTCAGGCACGGCCACACTAACCTTACAGCCTGGATAAAAACAACCGTGTCCAATGACCTGCACGCTCATGAACTGAACCATGACGCCCATATTTGCGGGGCGCCCAGCCCGTCATATTTTTTTTTTGGCTATCCTTCCCTCCTATCCTGATTCACCAACGTAGGGTTCTTGAATCGTGTCTCTTCCGTGCGAATGGATCGTCGGCATCGTGTGCCCTATCTACCTCTGTCGCTTTTACTACACACTGGTAAATTCAAACGTTACCATTACCTCAACACCTCTGACTTTTGGCGATCTCCGAGTTGGATTTGTGAATGGTCTCGGATCGCTGAACTTGATGGTCTATTCTGTACGGGGTTTTGGTTATCCTCTCTACGTTTGCTGTCAGACAGCACTCAAATGTCGCTTCAACGTGATTATATCCAGAATGAACCTGTCGAAAACGAGATCTTATTGGGTATGAGTACTTTTGCAAGACTCACTCCAATCAACCCTGTACTTAAAGAAGTTGTTACATTGGACGAAGGAGGAAGTATAACCCATTTACTCTCTCCCACGGCACTTTCCGCAGACCAAGTCACGTTCCCATACTTTAAACAAACCAGAGTTTCTTCATAACTTATATTATTACAACTAATTCAATACCTCGTTTTTATACGAGTATGTTTTACCTTTCGCATTTTGGCTTCTGATCTACTTCTGAGCATATATATTACAGCTTTCCTTTATTGTCAGATCTTATTTTTAAGATCTTCTTACTACCTGGAGACCAATGCCCTAGCCATCCTCATCAGAATATTTACATTGTCTCGCCGTCAGCCACTGGTACACCAAAGTCGGGACTGCCATCCTCCTTCCAGTTCAGCTTCTGTACACGTGTGTGGCGATCTGGATTGTTGAGCGGGTGCCCAGCAATGTCGCGATACTGTCGAGCGTGGTATACAAGAATGTCGCTCTTACCATCTTCAGATATGGTAAAAGAGTTATGACCTGGTCCATATTGACTTGTCTCAACATTGCTCTTGAAGATGGGCTCTTGTGCCTTGGTCCATACATCGACATGCATTAGATCCGCATCAAGATCAGCCGAAAGAAGCCCCACCACATAATTGTGGTCTGTGGCGCTAGCTGAGTACGTCAGCCATATTTTGCCATTCTTCAGTAAGGCATAAGGTCCCTCGTTTACTCTCTCGCCAACGCGCTCCCAGTCAAGTTTCGGACGTGAAATTGCAACAGCCGGGAGCTTGAGTGTCCAAGGATTCTCCATCGGTGCCAACATGATGCTTGTGCCATCAAAGCTTGGGTCCGCCTGGGCCCAGCTCAGATAGCGGGTGCCATTAACCTCAAATGTGGTAGCGTCGAGGGAGAAGGTATCCCAGTCGGTCTCAATCCACGATTTCTCGACCCAATCGGCCGTAACGGCATCATCACCGGTACCTTCCAAAACGAACATACGAATGTCGAAATTGGATTTGCGACCAAGAGCAAAGTAGATATACCACTTGCCGCCGATGTGGTGAATCTCTGGCGCCCAGACATAACCAATTCCAGCATCGGAGTCTTTTTTGTGCCAAATAGTAACTTCCTCAGCATCTTGAAGTCCCTGGATGGTATGAGAACGACGCAGGATGATGCGATCATATTCCGGAACTGATGCTGTAAAGTAATATACTCCGTCGAATTTGAAAATATGAGGATCAGCGCGTTGTTTGATGAGGGGGTTTTCATATGTAATTGAGGTGGGCTGAGCATTTGCTTGGGGAGTGACAATGCCAATTAGGCAAAGCACCATCACAAAAGAGAGAATGTTGCGAAAGAAAGCCATTGTAGTCGACTGCCACGGCTGAAGCGTGATAAGTATAACCATGCCTGGCAAATCCGAGAGTATTTATAGTTTTTAATCAATTACATAGCATGGAAGGGTTTTCCTTTTCACACATCAATATTTTCGGCAGATGCTGACATATCCTAGCCTACCATCTGCGTATAAAATAATAGTGATCCTGCGGTCTCTTAGCCCCAGATTCTGGATGAGAATATGCCGAACTGTGCTTCTCCAGAAATGTCCATCATTGGAGCGGCTTCAAACGCACAGAGAAATTTTGCAAAGCGCTGTAACCGAGCCTATCGTATCGTGAATGTAACTGGGGCACAGGGCTTGGCGTGTGGAGGCGTTGCTTGGGGTTTTACTCAAATGCTTGAGGTTAGGTCATTCAAATGTTTGTGCTTGAGCATACTAAGTCAAAATGATGTAGATCCTCCCTGTTTTTTGTTGTTCTGAGCATAATTGATAAGAATCGGCCGGCGCTAGCATTTACCGGTCGAATAAGAAAACGCTTTGCAAAAATAGAGTTATTAACCTTCAGAAGAAGAGTCTAAGCTTAAATGAACACGTATGCTCTCGGATTTCCTTTCCGGGGGAAACGATGTGGCAAATATGAGAGACTTTTGAATCCATTGGCCCATTTTTGATCAGCTTATGATTAAATCATATGGCGACATGGAGGTTAGGGTTGATACGTGAGTTCAGAGAATAAAAACTTCTCAAAATAAGCCAAAAGCTAAATATATAATAAAGCGAGATAAGGTTATTTTGATAAAACTAGGCCTTAATTTTTCTTAAGTCTATAAAATAAGTTATAATAATTTAAAATATTTTATTAATTAATTTTAGTTAAGTTAGTTAATAATAAAGAATTTTTTAGCTTATAATAAGTTTAAATAGATATAATAATAACTTATTTTAAAAGTCTTAACTTATAATTAATTTAATTTAGAAATATTTAAAGTATTATCTTAATAAACCTTAAGTTGCCTACCCTATTTGTATCTATTAGACGAATCTCCATCTCTGAGCCGAGGGAATAACAATGCACATTCTTCACAATGATATCGCATACATATAGGCGCCCTCTTAAAATCTTAACAAGACTTGTTGATATACAAGCTCAATATGAAACGTGCTTAAGTCTAAACCAGACCTAGCTGCATATTCTCTATTTAAATACTAGACTTCCCTGCATACTTGACAATGTTTGTGTTTAAGAACCAGATTAACTACTCCGAAAGATAGCTACATCAATAGCCAAACCAGAGTCACCGTGTATCTTCTGTTTGCCTCTGTTAATTGTACTTTAGTTACTGTAGTTTAGAACGTCCAGTAAAGAGAGGCTTACCCAAATCTTCCGCATTCATCGCGGATATTTCGCGCAGCAGAAACAATATCAGTTTGGCTGACATGGGTGTTGTCGAAGAGGAAATGGTTGCTAATACTGAGTACGGCACCGCCACGGGTGATACGGAAGAATGAGCTCGCTTTGACCTCAATGGGGAAGACAACATTCTTGATATTGCCTGAGTCTACATCGTCGATGGCAATCTCAATATCTGACGAGAGAATGTCTTGCCCATTGTCTCGAAAGCAGTTTGCGGCAAGGCAAGACCCTGAAAGGGTGGCTAGGACAAGAGAGAGTGTGAAACGCATATTTCGTAAAGGCCCTTGATTTATGGGATAAGTTGAGTCGTCCGGACAAACAACAGTGCAAGAGCGATGAAATTAGATCCTTTATACAGAGAACGTTAGTTGAGAATATGTCTCGGTGTGTATAAGTACCCTTGGTGCCTAAGGAACGGCTGGCTAACTCTGTTTTGGAAAATGTAACCGCGGCTAGATCACGGACTCATTATCTCAATAAAGACACAGGGCTATGTACATGAGGGTGCACATAAAAAAGAACGAAAATATTTCATCATTCTACATATAGCCTAACAAAGTCCCAGCAAAAGGCACTTGCCGGTAAGGATATGTGTATATTTTACCGCTAAAGCAAAGCCAGGAGGTTCTATACAGCCCCCAATCAGTAGGAGTCTGAGATACTACATGACACGGATACACAAGGAATGGCCGGGTTATATCACTAAGCAGATCGCCGATATCGTAATCGTATTCCAATTAGTAAGTCGTGCCGAGGCTACTGAGCCTATGCCCCTGTATTTGCCACTAACTGGCACCTCTAGCTTCGAATTGGCTGCAGTCTCACGGCAGCAACTAAGGTCGAATGCGGTGACTATCTGGCGGCCGACTCGTGCGGTAGCGGAGAGAAGAATCGTCTGACTAAACACCAGCTGTGTATCAACTGATGCCGTTCTATCCTGGATCCATAGAGCTCTCTTCAGATGTCAGTAAAAGCCAAACTAAACTACAGTCACTCTCCGGGGCAAATGGGACAAAACTGATGAATTTCGCATAGCAAATAAAAGACTTCATCCCAAACTTTTCGTTCTGCATTTCATAGCAGTGCCCAATATTACTTAACAGCAGATCCTATCTGAAACGCTTTAAATTCAACTTCACAGGCCGCAGACGTTAAACTCTACCTCTTTATCTCTTTTGGTGCACGGATGATTGTTGACAGTCATGTATTAACGTCAATGGGAAGTGAAGACACCCCACTGAATTGCGGGTAGGCATTAAGTTATCTTAAAGGCCGAGTTAGAATTATACGGAAGCGAATAGTAATACACAACGCTCGGAAAGGGTTCTTCCGTAAAAGGCCTACAAATGTGAGGAATGATATTTTGGGCGTAAAAAGCCTGTAATCCCTACAAGTCTCGTCATGAGTCTCATCATGGGCATTTTTTACATATCTTCTAAACGACTACAATCTCTCATTATCAGCAATATTTACTTTACCGGCCACTTATTGCTTCCCATAAATCGATGAGTCACCAGTCACGATAAGTGTCTGTCGATTCTTTGGTGTGGCCATCTTATTTCCCTTGCAATCTCTTTACAATCAATTCTGTTCTAAGTGGCTTGATGTTCTGTCCCACAGCGTATAAGCACTAAACCCAGCACTCCTTTCCAGACTTTGCCCCCAATCTTCAAACAATACCAACTAGGTAAGTCTAGTAATTCCCATTTCTTTCAAGTGCTTAATGCGACATATTCCATAGGCAACGCTACTGGAGAGGCATTTAGTCAATTGAATTGTTAGGCAGTCTATTCTTAAATAGGACATAGCCCGATGCCCGATCCTCGAAGGCCATCCGGAATTCCGGCATCGCACGAACTATCGAACTAAATCCGGGCTTGGACTTCAGCAATAACTAACAAAGTGATCGGCACTTAATGATCCCCAAGTCTGAAGACAACGCCTGCGAAGGAGTTTGTAGACTATCTTCTGGATAATGTGTGTCTGGGTTGTCTTAAAATTGAAGATGGTTATATACATTAAGGCTCTAGTGCAACAACACCCTATTATATGTCGATTAAAGTAAAGTAAGCATTCTTTCATAATCTCACTTATCACATTCAATATCAAAATGGAGAAGAGAAGGATAGGTTAACAGGAGGTTCGGATCACAGCGGGTAACTACGTCATAACATGGGCACGCTGATCAGGCTCCCGGCCTTACTACAGCAGGTAAGGTCAAATTCTAAATGCCAAATGCCCCTGCACTTGCTTCTGTACCCCATACTTCGAATACGAGAATCGCCGTTGGGGGATCGTGGGGTGGGATTGTGGGGTAAGCTGTAGCGTGAGGTAGGCAAGAGGGAATTAAAGAAGTCAAAAGTCAGTGACATAATAGTGGCTTCGGGCTCTCGGACGAAGTCTCGGCAAATGTCAAGATTGAGGTGTTCTCCCAATTGCAATTAGACATATCAGAACGCATGAGGCAAAGCGCATTATAAGTTAGATCTACATAAGCCCGTGACTCCCCTCCAAGACCACTACTGCAGCAACATTGCCAAGGAAATAACCCTGAAATCATGCTTCCATCTCTCATTTTGCTCGGCTGTGTAACCATAGCAGCAGCTTCAAATGGCGTCTTCACTCCAGGCGCACCGTTATATGACACAGACGGGAGAAGCCTACAAGCCCATGGGGCAGGTTTACTAGAAGTAAACGGGACTTACTACCTCATCGGCGAGAACAAGACGAGAACTGCCAATAATCCTCGTGGCAATCTATTCAACAGCGTGGCAGTATGTCCCCCATTATCCCAAGCGCCAACCTCTTGGCGCATAGCTGATGAAAGATAAATAGTGTTACAGCTCCAAGGACTTCGTCTCGTGGGAATTTCAGAATAATCTCCTTACAAACACCAATCCTCACCCAGACCTAGCGCCTGACCGTGTGATCGAGCGACCAAAAGCTATCTATAATGAAGAGACTGGAAAATATGTGATGTGGATGCATGTCGACAGTTCGGACTACCAAGATGCCCGCTCTGGCGTTGCCGTATCTGACACGCCCTGCGGAGACTACGAGTACCTTGGCAGCCTGCGCCCCGAGGGCCACATTGCTCGCGACATGACTCTCTTCGTTGATGATGACAGCACTGCCTACCTTGTTGCCGAAGATAGAAAAGAAGGAACCCACTTCTTCCAGCTGTCAGACAACTACACCGTGATCGATTCTTTGACCGCAACAATTCCATACTCGTTCATGTCAGCACTTGAAGCGCCAGCTGTTGTGAAAGTGAACGGGCTGTACTACTTCTTTGGAAGTCACTTAACCGGCTGGTCTACGGTACGTCCTCCCTTCTATCTCTGAGTTCTTATATGCTAAGTTTTTAAGAATGACAACCAGTACACTACGACCAAGGACCTTAAGGGAACGTGGTCTAAACCTGCAACCTTTGCTACTGCGGGTAGCAAAACATGCAATTCCCAGACTACATTCGTGCTTCGAACGGCCGCTGGCAAATTCGTTTACATGGGTGACAGATGGAACAAAAATGAACTAGACAAGTCTGGGTATATCTGGGAACCCTTAAGCATCAATTCTCAAGCCAGGAATGCTTCAATGTCGTGCAGGAAAGAATGGAAGCTATCGGAAGTCGGTCTATAAGGCAGAGTACGGAGAGGCTTACGACATGCTAAGCTCAATACCATACCATAAGTCAAGTCCTGATTTTGCTAAATAAAGACGAATTAACCGTCAAGAATTAAAAGAGGACTAAGCTCTTCTTAAAAATGCCTATTACTATATCTAAAGAAAATAGAGAGTATAGTAACAGCTACAGTCAGCACGCATCACTCTGTACTTTTACTGCTGTATGCTTCTACGATTATCGTTCTCAGCATTATCTTCTGCCTACCCTGTACCCTTCCTCGCCCAGAGCCAGAACGCGGCAACAGGACTTGAAAAGTGTAGTTCCAGAGTGAAGTGGATCCATCCAAAAACAGCATTGAACTGGCTACAACCAGCCCCGTGAGTCAAAATGCACTGGTAATTAGGCTCCTGCAACCTGACAGTCGCCATGATGTCTTAATGACAAAAGGCAATATGTCGGGAAATGTATAGCTCTAATCAATTGCTCTCAATCGACTTCAAGCACAGTTGACTGTGCTCGTGGCCCGTGCACTCATCATCTTGACCGGACTAATCTTATCGCCATTTCCTTATCTGTCATGAACTACCAAAATCCATCTTGAGATATCTCATCTAAGCTACCTCGGGAAATCATCCAAGTTCCGTAAACCGTTTTTGAACGCTCTTTTCAGTGCAATCAGCCACTCGTGACATATTGCAACCGACACTGTGATAACTAATTAGTCTTTTAGGGTGATATCGGAACCTTTAGACAGTAATGATTTCTAAAGAAGCATTCTCCAGGGCACAAAGCATGAGAGAAATAGCAGAGCCTAGCTAACAGCGGCGTCACACATCTTGGTCGTCTACCTTCTTTCGTGCTGCACTATACATCGCTGTTGATATCTTCCTGAAAGTGTGTCCCTGTATGTCAGGTGATGTGTTATTTTATCCTTTTACCATTAAAGTAACGTCCTTGCAGTATAAGTAAACTGGAGACATTAACACCAGTAAGAATAACTTTGGCGTAAAGTTGAATTGGATGTGAACAGTTTACACCCCTTTAGTGACATCAATGACAGTTGGAGGGTAAGATAGAACACGAAATCCCTAATTAGTTAGACCTGGGATCTGTCTTGCTTGCGCTGCATACTTAAGCATCGCCATAACTAGAGAATCAATTGTGTCAAAGAGAATGATCTGCAAGATTTCCTTCTACACCAGCTTGAGCACATAAGACAATTCAGACAGGAGCGATGTCATTTTCTCATATCGCCCTTAGAATCCTCTGTTTGGCCAGCTGTTTAGTACTATTAGTGTGTTGATTACCGATTCTGAAAACCATCACCACTTAAACATCGCGCTACCAACTCTTTGATCCCGATAACAAAGCCCAAGAAGCCAATGGCCTTCCTTAACCTCCTCAGAATGACGCCAATATGTCCGGCAACCGCACTGGTGACCTGGAAACTTCTGTTGCAGTATGTATATTGCCAAATCATATGTTTGCATTTGAAGACGCCAACTCTTGTCGCGGCAGGACCAGTTGACCGGTTTTCCTTTTTTTGCGGCCGTCATGACTCTCTGTCTGTGCCCATGTGAGACCGTAAAGAATGCGACCTTGTATTATGTATAGGCTCAGTTGGGTACAATACGTAATAAATTTAGATAGTTACACAAATCCTTTAACCTCCCGTGAAGAAGGCTTCGCCGGCCAATGAGTTGATGCCAACAAAGTCCCTTGATTGAGATGGAAGAAACATAATCAGGTGATGTGAAGAACCAGCCTTGCCTAGTTCCGCAATCATAAGTCTTTCCGCATGTGCCCCAGCTATTGTTAGTGTATGGATGAAGGGCAGCTATTACCGGTATTAATGTCAATTGATGAAGGAAGTGAAAGAAACGCGGCAGATAACTTGCTTCGTGCAACAGTCAGTTATTGGGCGAAGGAGAGGACTCTGAGAGCCCTGAGAGTTGTGAACAGAGTGGGCCAGAGGTAATTATAGACAGGAGACGATTGAGGTCTCCATGCCCTTTTCAATACATCAAAGTCTGTAGATCGCGAAAATCATGGAAAGGTTATACTAAGAAATTCTCCAGCACTAAAAACTAAAGATAAGGATCAGGTAATATACAAGGATTTAGTATTGCAGACAGCCTTATCTCCAAGCTCTCTCATAATGATATCTGGATTTCTTACTATCATAAATAAGATATTGCAGTTTAAAAACATCTTTGACTTCTCTGTCTCCCCTCCCAGCTTTAGCCCTCCTACAGAGTTGACGTCCCTTTTATAAGTCTCGCCAAGTTGTCTTGAGCATGTTTGTTAACCTGTCTCCTAACTATCTTCAAGAGAGCTACCAGAGGTCAAGTATATTACGCTTGAACTGGTAAGGGGAGAAATGATACTTTGAACAGGACACTGGTATTCGATAGATCAAGTCCACATGATATCAGATCTTGAGATATGACTCAGGGTAATGGACTTCCCCACTGTGAGATTCCGTCCTCGGATGGCAAAGATCGTCAGATTGGGTGAAGTCAATAAGAATTCAGAATGGGAACTTTAACTTACAAGATTTCCTAACAGTCGAGCTCTGACCTCGTGTCCCATGATTGATGAATATACTATGTGGAGCTCATAAGATGCCAATTGATTGAGTAGAAGTGATGGGCTGGAGTTTCCGAAGTTGAACTCTGGGCACCTGGACTTTATACGGCTTGGTAGAATTGATGATGGTTACTTAAACTCCAGCCAAAGGGCTTCCCGAAGCTTGAGCTCCGCTCTCGGATTTCAGAGGCCAGTTACCCAGGATGACCCGATTCCTGGCCTCATGCTAGCATGCGTACTATATGACCTTGTATATGCTGTAGTACCTGTTGATGTCTGTGCTTGCATCTAGGTACCCGGTCAGAGGGTATCATATGTTTTGATCGAGAATATGTATATATTCACGGTCGCGCATGTAAAGTATACATCCTTTTCTATCAAGGTCAGCTATCCCTTTACAAGTCATTCTAGTCCCTGACACCCTTCTCATCCCATAGCCAAACATTAGGTCCAGGATGTCGCTTTCTCCCACGGTCAGAGGCGGCTATAGAGTGAGTTCAACGCATGATAGAAATAGACGGCCCTATGCAAGAAAACGAGGCAGCAGCTCAGTGACTGGCCTAATCTCTCGAAAAATGTCCCTTGTCCCAGTTCGGTATCGTGATGGAGGCTTTCCTGGATACATATGTGCCATCAACCAGACCAAGATGCAAAGTATATACATTCCTATCAAGGCTATCCTACAAAAGTTGACTTTGGTAAAGACTGCATAAGCATAATTCCGCCATATTGCTCGCTTAGCTATGTCTTCCTACATCCATTCATGAATAATGTCTGCCAAAACTACCTCTTAAGATATGGCTGATCCTCCTCGGGCTTTGCCAAGTTTAGTCACAGCATCGCCAATATTCTCCTTAACGGTACATACTCGTCCAATTGTGATTAATAATGCTCTTATCTAGGACTAAATGCGTATGAGCTCCGAGGTACGGGCTTCCTTGACTGTGGAGTGCCGGTCTGGTTGTTAATGAAGGGTGTAACTGCGATGTCTATCCATGATGCGAGGAGTACGATAGTTAAAGTGGAAGTAGACGGTGATAGATGATGTGAGAATGAGAGAAACATGAATTGGTTGAAGCTGGATGTGCCAAAGCTAAAGCTAATAATTCTGATAAGAAAGTTAAAGAAGCGACTGCCTAATAAGGTGATCAACATAAGGTCAAGGATGATGAGAAAACAGCCCAGCGGATGATAATGTGACAGTGTATTTATGAATATGAGCCATAGACACCCAAACGGATTCCAGGCACAAGAAGAGTCTGATGTGTCGCTGATGTTGCAATTGTGAATGTTGTTTGTCGGGTAATTCTGGATGCCTGACACATATTGCATCGAGAAGCTTATGCAAGAACTTAGCAGCTTTCCAGAGGCTGAGATCGGTTACATTTTGAGAAAAGTGTCTGTCTACTCAGCTAAGTTGTAGCAAGCTTGTCAAGCACCGTCTCCTCAAAGCTTTATCCATCTGAACTGGCATTACAGCCTTACTGTTGGCATCAGTGTTGCGCTTAACTATTCGTTTTGCTTCCTCCTCTTCTTTCTGGTGGCTTTCTCTAAACTCCCATACCTCCCCGGTAGAGCCGCAATCTCAGCAGCCTCTGACGCCTCTGACAACACAAATAGGTAAGCCGTCAAAAAGGGAGAAGAAGCAGCAGAATCTCAATGCAGTGTTCTGGTCTCTTTTCATTTTAATTCTCCGCTTTTCAATGACCACTTGTTTTTTCGGAAGGATTTATGTTCATAATGTAAACCAAGATGAACATGCACCAAGATAGGGCTGAAACTGGCCTTTTCCCAAGTTCTTAGGTTTGCTGGTTCTGGAGAGATTAATTCTCAGTTAAACATAAGAACCAAGCTACTAACCGTTATCATTCATCTAATTTAGCTGCTTGAATCAAGCGAACTTAGTTTTTTTGTGTGGAAGCATAACAACCAATTGATACATAGAAGTAAGTCTAAAAATGAGGTTTTACCAGATCTTACACGGGCGAAGATGAAATGACTGAGGTGAAAGATAAGTGAAAAGTGAACGGGCCACAATTACAGTAAGCTGGGCTTCAAGGTAATGAGCCGCAGATTCCACGATGACCTTACCAGCGGCATGAGATATCCTCAGGCTAGACCTCCAGGCGTTTATTATCGATCAGTTTTATCGCATCGGACATTACACAAACTGCATTGCTCTTGACTTAACTGTTGCTATGACTCTTGCCTGATACATGCTGCATCTCCAACGGACATAGGAGGTAACGGACTTGCTGCATGACCAGGTGCAGATTGACATGCCCAATAAATCTCGTGTGCATCAGACTACTCTTCATAATCTCCACAGTCTTAATTCTGTAGAAGTTGTTCTACTAAGAAATAAAAAAAGGGCTGATAACATATAAAGACCCAACATATAACCACATAGATAACCACCGTCTCG